TTATAATCATCCAAAGACCTTAATATAGTAAACTGATTTTGTAGCGCTAACATTCTGAAGTCAAAAGCAAGGGCAGGGATAATTATTTAGAACAAATGACTTAAGATTCACATAGATCTGGGCACCTGGGTGGCTCAGTCAGTTAAGCCTCTGCCTTTGGCTCAGGTCATGATCTCAGGGTCCTGGGATCGAGTTCCACATCAGGCTCTCTGCTCAACAGGGGGTCTGCTTCTCCCTCTCACTCTCCCTTTGTGCTCTCCCAACCTCTCTCTCTCAAATAAATAAATAAAATCTTTAAAAAACAATTCACATAGATGTAGTACCGTTTTTTTAGACAGTAAATTTTAAGTTAAAGAATGAGAAGGAAAGGAAAGGAGTGCAGCGTAGAAGTTTATTCTAGTTTAATAATTATAAGGCCTCTGGCTCTATGTTGGAAGTACTTCTGATTTCTGAATATGTAATGCCCCACAATTCTTTGGAACTTACCTGTATTTTAACAGGATGAATTTCCTATCTTTCAGTCAAACAAATGTATAGATATTTTATAAACAGGGCCCTTAGTAAATAGTAAAATGCACAAACCAATATTTAGTCTCAGACTAGATGTCTTTTTTAGCTCTATCCTAAAATACTAGAGATGCTGACTTTAGTGTATGAATACATGTTAACGTGTCCGTTTTATATTGATGACTCCAAAAAGCTAGACAGAACAATAAATATTTCATCTTACATGGATGCAATAAAATGTTTAGTAATAAACACTACTTACGTTTACAGTCTTACATCACAGTAGTCCTAAATAATTTAAAGAACAAATTTAAAAAGAACATTTGAAGAATATGTGATTTTTTCTAAAGGAGATAATCTCTTGGTCTAAATTTAGAATAACAAGTTTATATTTTAAACAATAAGATATCCAGCAATTACCAGTACGATATCAAAAGCAATAAAGGTAGACTGTGACATCATCTCACATTTGGAAAGAAAAAAGATGCTGAAGTTCAATGAGTTTAAGAACATTAGGCAGTGTGGGGTTGTATTTAAGACCACACATAAGCTTTAGAGTCAGGCAGGACTCATTTTAAGTCCCAGATCTACCACTTCTTAAGTATGTAACCCTGTAAAAGTGACCTCTCTGAGTTTGTTTCCTCATCTATATATCTGGAAAAATATCAGTATCTACTTCAAAATGTTGTTAGAGTCAAGTGTAAAAAGTGCTTGGTACATAGGAAATTGTCAGTGAATGTTACTTTCAATTTTTCTTAACCCTTCTCTATTTTTTATTTTTTTCCACAGCATTTATTTATTTTTACAAATTACACTTAAATTTTACAAGAAATATAACAAATACAGTTAACACACCCATGTGAATCCACATATCATTGCTGCTTTTGTTGTAAGCAGCTGAATCTGTCAAACTGTTCTGCTGATCTACTATCAACCAGTCTCTCTTTGACAATGTCAGTGACTTCTGACCCTTTATCACTGTTATATGGACAGTGTGTCCATGCTGCATTGAACAAGGGACTGGATACTGCACTTTGACCCTCAGAAGAATTTAGTGACTTTCTTAAAGGGATCCATGCAGGTTTGTGAATGGAATCTTTCCAAAATTCTTTTTAACTGCAATTAGGGGTAGGCTGTTTTAAAATGCAACATTTAGGGGACATATAGCTTCCTCGTCACTCAGAATGCCCTCCTTTATCATGATAAAAACTATATAAAGATAATTAATTAAGTCAAAAAAGATTATAAGTAATCTAAAATTTTTCCTATATAACTCAGTTTTTAGTGAGATTTACTCTATAAATATAATTATGACCTATTTAATATTGTAAGGAAAACAAGAACATATTACTTACAAATAATGACTATAAATCTAAATAAACATTTAAGTTATAATACTAAAAACAAAAGTATGCTGTACAAACAAAAGCAAACACATGTGTACAGTAATATTTGTGTGATGCTGAAATTATACTCTAGAAACAATCAATGCCATTCTTTTTACTGTAAAGAAAATACCATTATTGTTGTTAAAACAGATTTTAATACACAGAGTACTGCAAAACCTGAAGCAATTCCAATGAAAAAGAATGAAAAAGTACATTTCCTATGCATACTGTACTGTAGTATAAAAAAATTACATGAAATAGGTTTTAATATTTTTTCTACATAAAAATAATATTAATCCGTGAAAATGGCTCATATAGCTTTGATGTGTAATTGAAAACATTTGGTTAAAGGAAAAAATCTGATGAACCTCAAGACAGAATGCTGAGTAAAACGGACTGTGTGTGTCGACCAAGGCACACTAGCATTACTTTGTACAGCCGATCAATAGATATTAGCTTTAAAAAGAAAGATACAGAAAGAAGCTGTTGCATATTTTTTTTAAAAGACAGGGTGAAGGTTTAAATTGTCTCAATCAAGACTCAATTTTTCTTCCCAGTTTTTCCAGCTGTTCTTTTCCAGTTAAGACTCTTCATTTCAAATAAATTTAATTAGTTCCAATTGATCATAGCTAACACTTACATAGCTTTATCCATGCTTCTCTCCTTTTATAAGGCAAACACTAACAAAGCCTGCTAGGCTCAGATCAGTGTCATAAGACAACATTCACACCTCATGCTTTCTCACCCAAAAAGAAAAATTTCAAAAATAATTATTCTGTCTAAAGCACTAAATTATACTTCAAATTTAATTGGTATCTTGGTTAATTGTTTAATTAAAGGTAATTGAAGAATTAAGTCCCAAATTGCTACAAATACAAAATTAGTATAACTATGCATATTAGCCTAACTAGAACTTCCAAGTAAGAGTTCATTCAAAATACAGGCAAATATGTCTGCCATAATATAATTTCTATTTATTTTATGAGAAGACATTAATGGAGCAATTCTTTTTAAGTAACCAACAAAACCCCAGATTTTTCAAAGTGAATGGCTGAACTGGCCAGCTTTCCCTTCTGTAGTACTTGTGCTCTACAATGGTGGTTATCCCAAAATAAGATTATTGTGCCTGAAACAGGTTTTTCTCAACACATCTACCATATTTTTCATAATGTAATTTATATAGAATTCTAGCCAATAAAAAGAAATATGGTTTTCTTCTAAACCCTCACAAAAATCTATACCACATCTTAATCAAGTCACACAATTCAAAGGTAACCTAAACGATCTACAGACTGCAGCATGCTAGTTGCTTTGACAACACATTAAGGAAGCCTTTTTTAGTTATTTAAATTCTTTGAATATTCTTGCCTCTAGTACCCATGCCATGAAATGAATAAATCAACTGATCAAAGCCATTCATCACATATGTTTAACTTAACCTTGTACAGATTAAAATATAGTTTACACAGCATTAATTGACTCTCCAAACTAGATTTTCATTTTTAAGCTTCTTGATTTTTTTTAATAATAAAATAAAAGCACAGTCATGTGCTATTTGCAGTCTCATGACTTTGTGGTAGAGTGCATAATTCAAAATTTCAATGTACAGACTTAATAATGCTTACTTGAATGCTCAAAAATTTAGATTTTATTCCAGAATGCAAATTGAGTTATTCTACTGTTACAAAGGCAACTTCTTTTCCTCTATGAATTAAACCACTACATTTTACAGACTAGAGGGCCTTTAAAATTAATAGGGAATTAAAACATACTATAACATTTAAAGAAGCATTGAAAACGTAATAAAGAAAGTTAAAAAATATTCGCAAGTGAAAGAATTTCCTTTAGTAGCTACTGACAAAATTTCATAATTGTGAAATGACTTTCAGAAAAGTTGGAAATTTCTGGAATCATTTATATTTATACTTAAGTTGAAATTTTTTTAAATCAATGAACTGACACCTTAAAAGGATTAAAAAGTAGCAAGTAGTAGGCAGCACCGTTTTTGTTGGTTGGTTGGTTTGTTTTTTACTGGAAACCAGATGCTCCCCACTTTACTCAGCAGCTTATTTGCAGCAGTAGCACAAGGCTCTAGGTTTTTGGTTACATGCCTTGTAAATTTTCAAGGGAGATCATTAGGCTTCCTCAACTTCCTTCCAATGAAAAACAGTAGAACCTGCCACACAGAGCTTTAGAAGAAAAAACCTTTCTTTAGTTTTTTTTCTTTAGGTTTTTACTGAAAATTGTCCTGATGTTTTCTGGGCATGCTTCTTTTTGAATGATTGATTACTATTAAGTTACTATTTGTTGCTTCACAATAATTATAGATTTATATGGTCAGATTTTTTCAATAACCATCCAGACAAAAAAGTTTATCATTCTTAATACCAGTAAAAATATTTATAGTGGGTTGTTCTTAATCCTCTGTACATTAAAAGAAATTCAGCTGAATGCATTTGGAGATCCAGTAACTGAAACTGATTTAAGTCTACAAAAAGATAGGCAGAACATATATGAACATAAAACATATAGAATATGGAACATATGTGGTATATGGCTTTCCTAAATTTTACTTTATGCCTTCATTTATGTAATAAATAATACAGGTAAGAATGGTCAGTATCTACACAATGTAAATAACTTTAAAAAGCCGCACCCACTCGTATCCTACAGGTACAGAGAATATCTGGAAGTTTCCTTACACAGCCTATACTGCACACATTGCTACTAGGACTTCAGTATTGTGCAGTTTACCCTATAATTGCAAAACCTTTTATAACATAATAGGTGTATTCCTCTACACGCTTCAAGGCTTTCATAATGATCCTAGCCTCTGAATTAGAAGGTCTCCAGGAAATCAAATGCACAGCTAGCAGGTTCATTGTTATAGCAACAATAAGCAAACCTAGACCAAATAAATGGTTCTGCTTCTTTCTACTTCAAGATCAAAAAGGACACTAAAGAGTCTCATAAAACTACACATTCCACCAATACAAGTTTCCATCTTTTCCACCAACATATTTAATCCCCTTATAAATGATCTAAAAGCATTTTCCAATTTTGGACAAAGTTCATCCAAATTATGTTAAAGATATCCCTGCTTACCAGTCGTGATGTCATCATCTGCAAGGTCATGCTCTTCCTCCTGGACTTTGGCTTCTGGCCCCAAGGCATCAGGAGCAGTGCTGATAGTCTGCAGGGCTTCTGCTGAGACTCCAGCTACAACAAATGGAATCACAAGGTTTAGTTTTAAAAAACTAAAAGAAAGGTGGACCAAAACTCTTAAACTTTTCAATTTACTTACTGGATACAAATGCAATACATGAAAAAAATACAATATGTTCACCACAATTAGGTTGAGACAGAAATTAATGAACAAAATATTCATGTGTGCTCTATTTCTTTATATGTATATATGCACATGGGTACAAACTTTACTAACTTAACCTAAGATCTGGGAAAAACAGAAGAAGGATGCTTCAGTAAATTACATTCTTACTTGATTCCTTTCAACATTTTTGCTTCAGTTACTTTAGGTGATCTAGACATAATTATGATGCACAGAAGGAAAAAAAACTAAAAAGTGCAGGACCATTTTAAAAGTTACTTCTTTTTTTTATTTTTTTAAAGTTACTTCTTTTTGATATTGAGTAGCTTATAATTTGGGGGCTGGAGGGAGGGATGATGACAATGCTCTGGGTCTCTGTAAGAGACCTGAAATGCACTGCCCCGAAGTGGATACTATCTCTGTCTATGGAGGAATTAGATATGAGATCTGATCATTATCACACTGAAAGAACCTAACTGAAGCAGATGGCTGCACTAGATCAGGGGCCAGAAGCTTCCATTCTATAAATCACCTGGGAACTTGCCAACTGAAACACATGTCTGTTCCTTATACACTATTTTCCCACCCTTGAAGATATATTTTGTTGTCTACCACATTATTTCTAATTTGGTAATGGATAGTAGGGTGTCTCAATATTTTTCATACAGTTATCAACAGGTATTACTAAATCACAAAATACAGAAATTTCACCACTGGAAGTTACTTTAGAAACGGAACCTTCTAATCAATCTTTTAAATAAGTACTTCAATAACTGCATTCATAGTATCCACAGAAATATTTTAAAAATCAAATCTATAAACATTCAAGGACTTCTTTTTTTCCCGAGGGTGTATTAACTTAAACATTTCTATGTGAAATTCAATCTTTCTGCCTCAGGTTTACCAAAGTCATCAAGAGAGGAAAATCTTAGTCTTGAACCACCTGAATGACCCAGAACTGGATTTACCAGTAGACAGTTCCAAGGCCTAATGACTTCAATTTGGGAAGGAGGACACACCATGTAAGTACTACTACTTTGTTCAGAATTGCTCCAACAAAAAAATGAGCAGTGCTAAATTCAGTGGTTGCTGATGAATGCCAAATGATGTCATCCCTCTGCAGTATCATATTGCTGTTGGGTTTTCAAGATAAAACTTTAAAAAAGGGAGGGAGGTTACCAGAAAAATACTATGAAGTTAATTACTGAGTTAAAAATGGCTTTCAGTAAAATAATCACAAGGGGGAGGAAATTAGGTAAATGCCGTATGTCTAAGGATTTATTGCTGAAACACAAAATCAAAGATTATGTCATATCAAATCAAAATATAAATCTCTGAAATCTCTTGGTCTTGTTTCTTAATACTTGTTAATTTTGAAAATGATCAGAGAAATGGGGAAAAGATATTAAGGAACAGTTTAGATAGTACCAACTTTTATTAGTATTTTCCTTTCCTATAAAATTAAAGGATTCAATAAAAATAAAGCTTGTATTTATGTAGTAACAAGTTTATAAATCCATTTAAATTCATCTCATTGAATCAGAGAGGTTAAGTAACTGTTCAATATAACACAGCTACTAAATTTGAGAACCAGTATTGACACATAGGTCTTCTGATTTCAAACCCCAATATCCTTTTCACCATAAAGTTCTTCCAGGGAATGAGTTGCTCAGGGCAGGGTAGGAGGTATGACAGAACATCACAGCATAACCATGAAAACTCATGGACTATCACAATCCTGAGTATCAACGCTGTCAAGCCCCCCCACAAAGTTCTTGTGCTGTGCCCGGTGACTAGTCAACTATGGGCAGTCAATACTTTGGGACAGAGCTTAAGAGCAAACATGCATTTCTCAAAGTAACCAAGGTTCAAACACCAAGAAGTAGCTATGCTGAAACTGGTTCTTTGATTAATGCTTTCCAAAACAGTTACAAGATCCTTTATCTCTTGACAGAAAAAAATATATATATATAAAGGAAAGAAAAACAGAAAAAAGAAAACTACAGATCGATATCACTTAGTCTCAAAAGTCCTAACTGAAAGGTAAAGAAATAGAATTCAACAACACAGACAAGGAATTACACACCGTGATCAACTGAGATTTATTCCAGGGGTGTAAGTCTGTTCTATGTTCAAAGATCAATCAACCTAACCAAAATATTAACAGGCTAAAGAAGAAAAAGAGCATATGATCATATCCATCAATATTCAACATCAACCTATGATAAAAAAAAAAACTTTCAGAAAAAGAGAAATAGAGGGGAACTTCTTCACTTAATAAAGAGCATCCGCTAAAAATCTGTAACATTGTACTTAATGGTGAAAGACCGAATGCTTTCCTCCTATGATCAGAAATGAAGCAAAGCCGTCCACACTCACCTCTCTTATTTAACAGAGCACTGGAACTTCTAGCCAGTATAATAAAGTAAGAAAAGAAAATGGATACAGTTTGGAATGGATGAGGTAAACTGCCCCTATTTAAGGATAAAATGATTGTCTACATAGATAATCCAAAGGAATAGACAAAACAAAAACAAAACAAAAAACTGAATAGGTGAGTTTAGCAAGGCTGCAGAATATAAGAAAAAATTTTTTATCAATTATATTTTTATATGCTGGCAATGAAACTACATTTAAGAAAATACTACTAACAATGGTTCAAAAAGCTGAAATACTTAAATGTAAATCTAAAAGAAACATATACAGGGGCACCTACGTGGCTCTCAGTTAAGCATCTGACTCGATTTCAGCTCAGGTCATGATCTTGGGTTATGAGATCAAGCCCTGCTTCGGGCTCTGTGCTCAGTGGGGAGTCTGCTTGAGATTCTCTCTCTCCCTCTCCCCATACCCCACCCCCCTGCACCCTCGCTAGCGCTCTCTCTCAAATAAATAAATAAATCTGAAACAAAAATATACAAGAATTGTATGCTGAAACCTATAAAATACTGATGAAAAAAATCAAAGAAGATCTAAATAAATGGAATGGAAAGACATACCATGTTTATGTACTGGAAGATTCAACAAATAGTAAAGATATCAATTCTCCATAAATTGATATACAGGTTTAATGTAATTTGTATCAAAATCCTTGCACAATTTTTTTTTGTAGATATAGACAAAATTATTCTAAAATTATACGGAAAGACAAAGGAACTAGAATAGCTAGAACTTTGGGGGGGAGGAAAAGGAAAAGGTAGAAAAAAACCCATATACTCCATTTCCAGACTTATTATATAGTTAAATTTATTAAAACTATGTGGTTTAAGGTTAATGGAACAAAACAGAGAACCATGAAAAAGATGCATACAAATATGCACGACTGATTTTTGACAGAGATGCAAAAACAATTCAATGGAGGAAAGATAATCTCTTCAACAGGTGGGCTATTAGAACTGGACATCCATAGGCAAAAATATGAACCTTGACCTAAGGCTCACACTTTATATAAAAAGTAACTCAAGGGGTGCCTGGGTGGCTCAGTCGTTAAGCGTCTGCCTTCGGCTCAGGTCATGATCCTAGGGTCCTGGGATCGAGCCCCGCATCGGGCGCCCTGCTCTGCGGGAAGCCTGCTTCTCCCTCTCCCACTCCCCCCCTGCTTGTGTTCCCTCTCTCGCTGTGTCTCTCTCTGTCAAATAAATAATAAAATCTTAAAAAAAAAAAATTAACTCAAAATAGATCATGGACTTAAATGTAGAACATAAAATTATAAACTTTTAGAAAAAAAGATAAAATCTTTGCGATATATGCCTAGACATGACACCAAAAGCATAATCCATAAAAGAAAAAAATGGCAAAGTGGACTTCAGCAAAATTAAAAACTTTTGCTCCGCCTAAGACCCCATTAAGAGAATGAAAAAACAAGCTACAGACGAGTACAAAAGATTCACAAATCACATATCCAACAAGGGACTAGTAGCTAAACTATATAAGGAACTCTTTTTTTAAAATTTTTAAATTTTTAAAGATTTTTATTTTTAAGTAATCTCTACACCCAATGTAGGGCTCGAACCCACAAACCCAAGATCAAGAGTCACATGCTCTAGGGGCTGAGCCAGCCAGGTGCCCCTATGTAAGGAACTCTGAAAATTCTACAGTAAATAGTCTGGCAGTTCCTCAAAAGGTTAAACAGAGTTATCATATATAACTCAGCAATTGTACTCCCAGGGAATGAAAACCTATGTCCACACAGACTTGTATATGAATGTTCACAGCAGCACTATTCATAAAAGCCAAAGAGTGTAAACAATCTGAGTTGTCCATCAACTGATGAATAAATGTATAAATATATCACAATTTATCAAATGATAAATAAATCCTGATATATTCATACAATGGAATATTAATCAGCAATACAAGGAAGTATTAGGTAAAAGAAGCCAGTCACAACACATCTATGATTCCATTTACATGAAATGTCCCAAACAGACAAATCTATAAAGTACATTTGTGTACTTAGGTCTTGGGAGTGGGGGGAAATGGGGAATGATACTATGGGTACAGAATTTCTTTTATAGACAATGAAATATTACTCAGCCATCAAAAATGAAATCTTGCCATTTGCAACGATGTGGATAGAACTAGAGGGTATTATGCAAAGTGAAATAAGTCAATCAGAGAAAGACAATTATATGATCCCACTGATATGTGAAATTTAAGAAACAAAACAGAGGATCATAGGGGAAGAGAGGAAAATATAAAACAAGATGAAACCAGAGAGGGAGACAAACCAGAAGAGACTCATAATCATAGGCAACAAACAGGGTTGCTGGAGGGGAGGGGGTAGGGATGGGATGATGGACATTAAGGAGAGCATGTGATGTAATGAGCACTGGGTATTATATAAGACTGATGAATCACAGACCTGTATCTCTAAAACCAATAATACATTATT